TCCAGGCCTGCTGGCATAACCAAATCTTAAGGGACTCTGGAAGCTCAACAATGATGAGGCCAGTCTCACCTCAGGGGGGAGAAGATTCCACAGCGCAGGCACCACAGCAGAAAAGGCCCACCATCTGGGGCCTGCCAAATGTATTTCCCTAGGCAATGGAACCCATAACATTCCCTCTCTGCTGGATCTGGTAGGACGGGCAGATGAAATCAGGAAGAGGTGGTCCCTAGATAGCCCGGCCCCATGCCATGAAGGGCTTTAAATGTATCATATAAAACAAAGAAACAACATTATATAGGATCAATATGAAAAATAAATGTAAAACCCTTTTGGCACAGATGGTTAGAGATTCTACCGATAGTTTATTCAGAGAGATACTGCATTAAGCAATCATCAGTTTTCTATTTGTAATGAATATATTAACTCCCACTGGGGGAGATGGACGGCATACAAATTTAATAAACAAACAATCTTGGGGATTTTATCCCATATGATATTTCACAGATAATCACTTTAACATGAATAAAATATATAAAGAGATAACTTCAGGTGTTTGTTTTAAACATTTATATAGCCACCCATCTTTTACCAAACTCTGGGCTGCTTACAACCCCAAAATAAAACAACATCTATTTACAATAAAAATATTAAAACCAAAAGTCCTGGCAGCATAGCTAATCTTTTCCATGCAGCCAACAACAAGATCACCTCATCAATCTCGCCCTGTCCCAATACTTGGGGGAAAAGCCAGGTCTTGAGTACTTTTTGAAAGCTTAAAAGGGTGGGGACCTGCCGAACTTCAGGGGGAAGGGTTTTCCATAGTGCAGGGGCTGCCAAGGAAAAGGCATACTTCCTAGGTCCCATAAGATGGCAACATTTAAGGGAGGAGACTAGGAGCATGCCCACCCTATTCAATCTGGTAGGATGGGCAGATGTCCTTAGGGAGAGGCAGTACTGCAAATACTGCCATGCCATATAGGGATTTAAAGGTAATAACCAGCACTTGAATTGCACTCTTAAATGGCAGTCTATAAATATTATCCTTTGTGACAAGGTTAATACTTTTACAATGAATGTGATTTCCTAGATTACTATATATTTTATGTAGAGTGTTTATACATATATCTGCAAAATATTTTCAAAATTTTAATACAGTGTTTCACATTTTTTGTGGGAATCTTCTAAAGGTTTTGTTGATTAAAGAACTTGAACTTTATTATTTTGCAGGTCTACTGGCTGGTACCAAATTTTGGATGACTCTTATTGTTGAAATACTTCTTGGGCCCTTCCAATCATTACATTACACCTTTAGTTAGTTGGAATATCTTGAAATAGTTCTCTGGGCTTGGAAGATCTGTACTGAAGTGTAGATCGCAAGTGGTTGCAGACATTTTGCTATGTGTTCCAGCAAAGTTTCATCAGTGTAGTGGTGTAGAACAGTGTTTCTCAACCTTGGCAAGTTTAAGATGGGTGGACTTCAACTCCTAGAATTCCCCTGCCAGCCATGCTTAACATCTTAAACTTGTCAAGATTGAGAAACACTGGTCTAGAATGAAAGTTGCCTTGCTGTATTTATAATCTCTGTGAGTTTGAATTCTATGGTGATTGGCTGCTTCTAGGGAAGTGTCCATTGATTGGTGGCTGGATTGTTAGTTTGGTTCTCATTGGTTTGCCTTGTCAGTTTGTTGTGAATGGTTTGGACCTTGTGCCTGATTGGCTGGTAAATCATATTTAGTTATATAGTTTCGTTGGTGGCTCCTGTATTTGGATTCCAGGCTTCCAGGAATTCTCTGGCTCCTCTGCTGTTTGCTTGGCTGATTATTTCTGTATTATCCCAGTCAAATGTATGGTTCCTTTTGAGGGCATTGGACACTGTTAGGTATTTCTGGTCTTGGTTCATTAATATCAAATAGTTACTATTACATCAACTCAAAGATTGTGGTATTTTGATCCTTTTCTCATGCTGAGTTTAATTAATTCTGTGTTCTGAGTCAGATTTCAGAATTAATGTTTTAAAAACTAACATATGGAAATTTTGGATAGAAGCTGGGATTTATATTTTAAATCAATTAGTAGTTGAAAATTTTTCTCTTTGAAAGACAAATGTCTTGTATGGTATTCAGTGGCAGTATTTACAATTACAGCTTATCAAGTTGGGCCTGCAACGTTTTCACCCTCGGAAACACCTAATCTATTACAAGTGATTATTAAATCTTATGACACAAAACAACCATAATTATTCTTCATAAAATTCTGTTGGCAATGAATAATTTTGCTGTGCAAACTTAAGTGGTTTAATGGACTTTAACAAATTAGAGATTTCTTGGGAAGATGTGTTAAGATCAGTGCTGAAAACTTTATAACAGATATTAGATTATGTCCTGTTCAACAACAACAACAAAATATTTTGGACTTAATGGATTTAAAAATTTAATATTAAGACATGTTTTGCTTTGTATATATAATTAATAAAAGAAAAAATTACTGCCTATCCTATCCTAACAAAAGTGGCATCGTTAACAAGGTATCCTCAAATATACAGCAGTACCTCCCTTCCAGATAGGTACCTATAAATAGAGTGAAGACTGTAGTTCTATCACAGTTTTGTAGTAGAATTTTTTAAATTATGGTGGTTTTTAAAAAATAAAGTTCTTGTTTATGATATAGAATTATGTTGTGAAACTACTGTTCAGTGTGCTCGTCAGAATCTCTGGTATGATACAATCAAACACACATCTTTTCTTCACTTTCTCCCTTGGTTCCTTTACTTGGAATGTAATTTTTTTCCCTTGCTTTAAAATGTTTTATTCTGACAAATACTTACTAAGGACTTGAATGGTCAACAGTTGTGTGCATTTATTACCCTCCCCCTCTTTTCCTGGCCTAACAGCAGCAACAGGAGATTCTAGCAATGAAACATCAGCAGGAGCTGTTGGAACACCAGAGAAAATTAGAACAGCATCGGCAGGAGCAAGAGTTAGAGAAACAACATAGAGAGCAGAAGCTCCAGCAGCTTAAAAACAAGGAGAAAGGAAAAGAAAGTAAGTAAAAGCATGTTAGATAGTTTGAGTGACATTTATTTTTATTTATTTATATTTCAAATTTGTCACTGCCCATCTCACTGCAGAGCGACTCTGCATATATACTAGTAATATGTCAGTAAAGGACATATCTGGTTTTTACAAAAATAGATTATAATGCTTATGTTTCTCTGCAACAAAAACATCAAAGAAGAAGCTGTACTTTTTTTTACTGCTCCTGCTCTTTTAACCTAAATAAACTAACTGAGAACCTATTTAATAGATGCAGTTGAAAGGTATCTGTATTAGAGCTGCCGTCCTAATTTAGCCCAAGGATATTCTCCACAGTGTCTTCATGTCACACCTATACATCTATATCTGTACAACCCATCATTCTAAAAAGTTCCAAGGCTCAGCTTTTTTGTGGGATTGAGCCCTGTTTTGCACATGCCCACTTTGAGAATAATATCAGCCTTTTCAGTCCATATTTATCATCATAGTGGAAACATTGCAAGGATTGTGGCATTGCTGAACTATCAGATTTTCTTCATTTCTTTCAACATTTTATTAACCATTTTTGTTTGGTTTTGTTCCTATATTTTATTCAACAAAGTCCCTCCTACCTATTGCCCCAAGACCCCATCTTCAAGGAGACACTGTTCTTGCCTTTTCTGTTTGGATAAGGGCAGTTGGGCTGAGTATTGCACATATTGCCAAAACCTCACCCCTTAGATGTGTTGCAGATGCTCAGCCAGGCTTTGGACTTCACTTAAGAGAGTGTTTCAAGCCACTACTTTGTGTTTTTAAGTCAATCAAACTTTACAATATCAATTGCCATTCCAGTGTTATGGCTATTTCTAAAAAATACAGGGATAGACCTTATTCTAACTCTTCTGCATCCTGTGGTATTGAACGTCCATATTGACAAACATTCTGTTACTGACTTAATTATTGTGTAGGCACTGCAGAGTAATTGCCAGATTTCTGGTGCCCTGGTGGACAAGAAAGGCTGGATATTGCACATTTTGGGTAGATTATTAAAATTCTTACCAGACACATTTATGTGCATATTACCAATTATCACATGTGTACTAGATATTACTTTTTCCTCTAGGAAAAGAGGATAAGTTTCCTGTTCAAATCTTCTGTGCTAAGGCCTCTTGCCTTTCCAAGCAGGAAGTCAGTAGCTGTTCTTTATATGGAAAATTGGGTGCTAATAAGCAGTATTCCTAATGAACACTGCTCAGTAGTGAAGGTCATTTTTTCCCCAAAGACTGGCTTTTGCTTGAATTTAGAAAAATCAGATATTATTTTCATATTCTACTATATCAGATAATGTTGGTATGGCTCTTGAATTTGTCCATAGCCAGATTTTTCTCCTCCTTATCATTTTGTAGGTCTAAATCCCAAATCCTGTTTAATTAAGGCTTTATATGGGCCTAGTGATGACATTGCCAGGAATATGCCAGGTTGGAGTCAGTTTGCCTTCTTAAGGATGAGAAAAACCTATTCAGCAGGGTGAGGTGAATCGGAGACTCATCCCCCCAAAATTTGTTACAGCCATCACTGTGCTAAATTTTCATGAGACTGCTGATGAAAATGGTTTGTTAAAACTGGGAAACATCTTGTCAATATTTCCTGTTAGCTTGCTGAATGATGATGCCCTTTGCTGTATAACTGTCACTGCTGTTCCTGCCTTTTGGGGTGAAGAACCATTTTCATGTTGCAATCATTTATTCATTTATTGAATTTTGAAATAAACTTTTATTTTTTTATTTATTTGTCACATTTATATAGCCACCCATCTCACACGAAGTGACTCTTTTAAGCCACATTGAAAACTTTTGTTTAGAAGAGTAGCTAACATTATTTCAAAGAAATTTAAAAAAATCTGAGAATACTGAAATCCACTAGCTAATATGGAGGTGGTGAACAGTGTTTGCCTCAGATACCAGTTCCATATCTTATTCAGACAGGGAAGGAAAGATGCAAACATTCTGGAGGTTCCTCATCCCTGAATTAGTAAAATAAATAATGAATTAACACAAATCTTAACTGCAATTACATGCTTCTTTAAAATTGTTACACAATATGTTACTTGAGTTATGGAGATGAATAAAAGCAGGGTAGCATTTCAGATATCTGTTGTTTGCTGTACGTCACAGTTGGGAAAGATCTGTGCATGCTACCTTGAAGTGCAGCTGTCAGGCAGAGAAAATAATTAAGGCATACATGGATCAGTATTCATTATCTGTCCATATATTAAGTACTGTGAGGGGAACAATCACCACAGGTAGCAACTTCTAGACAGCCTTCGTTGATCTTGGAAAAGCTGAGCTATGTTAGACCTGATAAGTGCTTCCTGTGAGACCACCCAGAAATCTCTGGCTTGTAGAATTCAGAATTCAGAAAAATCACAGAAGAAAGCAGTCACAAATCATTGCCGTGTTGTTGCCAAGAAAACAATATGGGTGGAGATCAATTTAGGGGAGGCTTTACCTCTTTTTTTAAAAAAATACACTTATCCGTAAAGCAACAGTTAAGACAGAAGTACCAGAGTTTATATAGTCTTCAAAAATATTCTTTTTCTATTCATTAGAATCTTCCAAATAAAAACAGTTGTTTGAAAATTTAAAATCTTATTCAAATCATTCTTTCTCCTTGCGCTTTTGGAATATAGGAAATAGCATTTTGAAATCAGAAATGTAGCTAGTGAAAGAGAGAGAACTCAAAGCTTAAAACACATTGCTGCTTTACATGCCAAGTTTTCTATTTAATAAACCAGATTATTTATACAATAATTATATAGAATTTGATTCAAATAAAAGGAAGAAAAAATATGAATGATTTTTTTAAGACAGATTCTTTCTGCACATAAGCCGATGTGACTAAAAAGAATATGTAGAAATCATCCATTTTATATATACCTAATTAAGAAAAGGCTAAAATAACTTGTGTAAGTGCTGTAAATTGAGTATAATTTTATTTTTGAAATCTTACTTAACTGATCCTTTATTTATAGGAACAAGATAAATATAATTATACATTTCCAAGCACTAGTTCTAATTTTGTACCCTTTTCATATTGCAAAAAAATATTTAATGATAGCTTATAATATTGGAAAGGTTAAAAACCTCAGATAACTCTTTGTAGTTTGAGACCCACTTCACCAATTTTATGTAGTTATATCTATTTTCTTTTGGCTTGGTATTTTAGGTGCAGTGGCAAGTACAGAAGTAAAAATGAAATTGCAAGAGTTTGTTTTAAATAAAAAAAAGGCTTTGGCTCAGCGAAATCTCAACCATTGCATTTCCAATGATCCTCGTTTCTGGTACGGGTAAGTATTCCTACCACCATCCTAGGTTTCCCACTATTCTTATAGATGGATTATAGATGACAAATAAGAATTCTATTTTAAGTTTATTAAGACTGCAATTTAAAAGCCCATTAAACTCATAGGTAACATCTACAGTTTAAATTATACTGTATCCTCAGCTTTTGGGGGGGAGGGGGTGATAGTATGATAGTGACTTGATGAAAGTAGATAATGGATGGCCAAAGAAAATTGTATGGCAAAATTATTACTATAAAAGGTAGGAATATTTATTACTATAAAAGGTAGGAATATCTAGATAAAAGAAATTGACATAGCATTTCTAATTATTTAATACTATACAACAAAAGGTGTTTTAACAGCCATACAAATACAATTAATTTTAGGCTAGGAAAATCTCTCAGCCCTAGGAAAAAGACAGTGGCAACTTCCAAAAATGTTGCCAAGAAAACTGCATGGACTTGCCAAGGAATTGCAAGGAGTCAAGACTGATTCAGAGTGACAGCAACAGCAACCAAATGGAAAGGGATTATTATCTGATGGTACTTTGCAACTCTTATGTGCTACTGCACAAAACTTTACAGTACTGAATGTAATAGAAGAGTTGCTATCAGAAAGTAAGAAAAACAAATATAATTTTGTGGAGCAGCCTGGGATTGTAGTCAGAATTGGGAAAATAAGAGAAGTGCAAGTATATCTGTAGATGTGACAGTGCAGAAGCACAGCTCGGTTGCCTCAACCTGTCCATCACCATGGAGGCATTAGCATTCCAAGAGGGGAGGTTAATCTAACAGCCAAGACCACCACAATGAGCCAAAAGTAAAAGCTCCTCTGTGAGCAAGGACTGATACTTTTGTCAGCATATTTGAGGCATCAATATGTACCTTAGGCTTTTTGATAAGGAAAGATTGGAGAATCTACTTAAATTATTATTCTACATAATGCTCTGCTTAAGAAGTGATCTCGACTGATCATAATCCCAAGAGTGCTCCCAAGAGATAAGTCAGTGTAAACCAAAGCTACGAGAGTTTTGCTGTAAAATATTGGTTCCACTTGGATTCAGAACCAACCATGAATGATAAGAGGTAAAGACCAGCAGGAAAAAAAGGAGTTTTAGCCAGTAATAAAATACTCTTAGATAAACTCTATCCCTTAACTTTCTTTAGACCTATGTCTCATCATATGATAAATATCCCTGGGGATTACATCTTATCTGCAGAGAGGGGTTGCTATAAAGAGTCTGCATAAGGAATAATAAAAAAGGATCAGTTGAAGCAGCCTCTTTTTTTTCTGAGTTTATCGCAGGACATGCAATCAAATGCTGATTTCAAACCAATAAAAGCTGCATATAAAGATTATAGTGTTAGAGGAGTACTTCTCAAAAAGGTGAAGTACCAAATAACAGTAGTAGAAGCCTGCCTCCTCATCAGCTAGCAGATTTTCTGTTCCAGCCAGTCCCCTAATTTTCACTGGAAATGTCTGTCTTACAGCTTGCTAATAGAATTAAAATAAATTATAGGCCTGTAGTTGGCAGAATCCTACTTTTTTGAAGATGGGAAGTATAATTGCCATACCCCAGTCCTTAGGTACTGGTTATTAGGTATTCAATTCAAGAAAATTGGAGACGTCAAGGGAACGTTTTGTGCAAAGATGGGCATGATAAAGGACAAAAAAGGCAGGGACCTAAC